TGTACACCAACGTTCCCGATAAAAGTAATTTTTCATAAAGTATGACGCCAAGTTATAGCCAAGTAGATTGTTGATGGCAGCACACACTTTTTAATAAGAATCGTGAATTTTTCCTGAGCCTCGTGATTCTTAAAAATTTGGGATTTTGAGCCTCAGATGTTTGTTAAAAAATAGCCGCAAGGAGTGGGGGGGGGGGTGCGTTGTAAAGGAATGAAAGAAACAACTATGTATAAGTGCATTGCGTTCAACTTGAAAAAGCAGTAAAGATAAAAAAAAGTATGCTCCGAGATTTTCCCATTGGGTCATTCCATGTCAACTCTCAGATGATGTGTCACCCACCCTTTCAGATCTCAATGATTTTCATACCAGAAGTAGGAGCTGATATGGTTATACCTCACCAAAAATTTCAGCTCAATATGTCAAGTGGTTCTAGAGATAGGGGCTGTTCAAATATGACCCATTTTAGGGTATGGCCTGCCCATATTTTATGTAACCGAAAAATGATCAACTTCAAAATGCTATAACTTTACTTCTGGTCATATTTTGGCCAAAAAAATTTGCCTGGTATACATTTAGATAGTGTAGATTCCAAATATGTTTTGCAAATGATTGTTTGTATGATAAGAGATGGTGGATTGGCTTTGTTGAAAAGATCAATGAAAATGAGAGAGATGCTGCAATACTCTTTGCATCCTCCAGGTCCAGCAAACAGTTTTGTATGGCCAACAAGACCAGATATTTGCTGCATTCCTGAGAGAGATGCTGCAATACTCTTTGCATCCTCCAGGTCCAGCAAACAGTTTTGTATGGCCAACAAGACCAGATATTTGCTGCATTCCTGAGAATGACTTAATAATGAAGATTAATACTCCAACAACTGCAGCTGGAAGAACATAGAATCTGCTTTAATCAGCAAATCTTTCTTGCAGCTCCTGCCATAAGCAAAGACTTCATAAAAGTACTTGGTAGCACAAAACACAAGTAATTTATCTTTTAGTTCAAATAAAGATGAATATTGCAAATCTTTAGACATTATCCTAGTGACTGTTATTAAAATGCAAATTTGCCAAATAACTTTTTTTTTTTTTTTTTTTTTTTTTTTTTTTTTTTCCCCAAGTCAAATTATTTCATAGGTCCTTCATATACAAATGGTTAACCAAGTATTTTCTTATAGCCCAATTCAAGAGCTTTCAGCTGGTATAAATTTCAATTTTTAAAGATTTTGCAGTTTTGCACAATTTGTCCCTCAAAATGACCACCGATGAGATGCTGTTTTTTTACTTGAAATTTTTAATGAGCCATTTGGTCAATTTTCATTACTCAAACAATCATTTGCAAAACATATTTGGAATCTACACTATCTAAATGTATACCAGGCAAATTTTTTTGGCCAAAATATTACCAGAAATAAAGTAATAGCATTTTGAAGTTGATCATTTTTCTGTTATGTAAAATATGGGCGGGCCATACCCTAAAATGGGTCATATTTGAACAGCCCCTATCTCTAGAACCACTTGACATATTGAGCTGAAATTTTTGGTGAGGTATAACCATATCAGCTCCAACTTCTGGTATGAAAATCATTGAGATCTGAAAGGGTGGGTGACAATTTTAGATTTCTGCAGGCCATTTGACATGGAATGAGCCCATTTCATTACGCCAATATGCCAGGGAATATAATTTAGGCTAAATCCACGCCACCACTCCGACAGGAAAGCTAACTCCATGCCGGAGATCTTTGGGCCTAGTGCATGAAATGCACCCTGGTTGGTAACATCCCCTGCACCCTCAAGCTCCTTTTTCTGACCCTGAAGAAACCTGTTGTACCTTATCTTAAAAATTAAGAAACCACATTTATTTTAGCAACTTAGAGTTTGTATTGAGTCCTTAGTTGATTATTAAGTAAATAGGGAGACTAGATCTGCACAATGGTAGAAAAATAATAATGACCAAAAATAAGATCTAAAGTGATACTGTATAAAGATTAATCAGCAGAATGTAAGGGTAAGTCAGCAGGTGCTTATCAATACTATAACTTGTTGGCCTTTGTCAGGGAGCCAGTGGCATGAAGGCAGGGTTGGCCAATTTAGATCATGATGATTTAATTCAAGATTTATATCAAGTGATTTAAAAGAAATAATTTAATTAAATCAAAATTTGCTTCTGGAGTTACATGGAGTTAAAGGAAAAATATGAAAATAAACATAATTATACCTGCTTTATATATTTCTGTGGAAGTGAACACTAAAAACTTCCTTTTTACAATGCAACCAAAAAATCCATATTCCATCAATAATTAAATCAAAGTGATTACTTGTAATGAACTGTACTTGTTTCTGAGAAGTAGAATACTAAAACACTTCATTTTACAATACATCACTACAAAAATCTTATATTTTATTTTAAAAAAAGGGAAATCAAAGAGGTTTACTTATTGTATATTATTATATTTTTATCCTGACCTAATGAATTTAAAAAAGAAAATTCACAAATATTATTTAAAATAAAAGCATATTGAATTTATACTGGAAAAATATTCTTCTTTGAAAAGTTATTATCCCCTCCGTTTGAAAAGTAGTTCATGAAAACAAATTACAAGTTTGTTGAAATTTAAGTTTAAAATCTTTAAAAAAAAAAAAAAAAAGTTTTTATTTCTAATTCTTATGACGATATCAGATATACAAATATAATACAAATATACATATATGATAATCACGAATATATAAAACCACACTAAGCAGAGAAATGAAAATCTATATTATGTTTATGAAGTTGTAATATAAACTTCATGTAAAAACAGAAATTTGTTTTGTAGGATGATGAAAAAATAAAAAATAAATAGATAAATAAGTGAAATCAATTTCAATAAAGACATACTTTTATAACCCCGTGATACCACACACACTGCTTACTTTATTCAGAATAAAGAGCAAATAATAATCAATTATGGAGTCTATCCTATCCAATTTAAGAAAATGTCCCATATTCTATAGTTATCAGAAACTATGGCAGTTATAGACTTTAGAAAATGGTAATACCAAAAAATACAAAATATATTTATTGTGATTGAGAGGTCGCGCATGCTAAGGTAGTGACACAGTCCTATGATGGCAGGACCAGGAAGCTATGAAAACCACCCAGGATGGAGGGCTTGCATTTTGGAAAATCACCTGGCAGAATTGGGTTCATTAAAGAACTGATCAGACACCCCCCCCCCCCATTTTTTCTTTCTTTCTTTCTTTATCCCCTCCTTACCTGTTGTTGTCGTGGGGGGTCTTAGGAGGCGGGGACTGGGACCCAATGATGGGGAACTCCCCAACCTTGGGACTCAGCCCTCAACTCAACTAATTTTGCATGATCTTTTTTCTCCTCCTACTTTTTTGTTTCTTTCCCTTCACCAATCCCTTCTACTATCCACTTCCTAAGGTGTGAGAGCCGTGCTGAAAGGATGAAAGGCTGACTTTGTGCCAGTCCTGAATGGCCTGAGGGAGCCATGGGCAGTATTCCCCTGCTGTAGTTGCCTAGCCCTTACCCCTCAAGGGGACTCTGAGGGGTGAACTGTTTCTCTCCCCAACATACTTCAGGCTTATCATGGCCAACAATGAAGATGTTATTCCAATATAAGTGGCAATGAGGCTTGCCTCTTCATGAAATAGCCCCAACAATTTAAACTCTCCCGATTCCTTAACCCCAGGCTCTCCTTTGACCACGGCTCCGAACACTACAACTACTACCCCCTCCTCAATGCCTACTAGTACAGTATCCATCCTAGTCAACACTCATCCCCCAGGAGACATTTCTACTCTCCCACCATGCTCAACTTCAACACCTCTACCCCCACAACCTTCATCAACTATGCCATCCTCCCTTATTACTACTTTACAACCTTATTGCCCACCTCTCCAGCCAAATAGGACTGATTTTTCAGGATCCCTCCCACAGCTCCCTTCTCTGACAACGCCCTACTCTTCCAGTAATGTCTCCAAAAACAAGTAGGCAAAGTCTCTTTCCGTAGCCGACCTGACCATTCCCATCTCGTCACAGTATCATCTGGAAACCAAGCTATAGCATTATCAAATCTAACTGATCTATATGGTAACCCCATCCCTGCAGAACCCCATCCAACCCTCAATCTCCCCAGCAAATTGCCCAATCTATAACAAAAATTGGTCAGATTGTGGAGAAGACATACTGGCCTGTCTCACGGACTATGATGCGCTTTCAGTACGAAGCTACTTCATTCCTCCCAGTGGTCATCGTAAGAACCCCACTAACATTGTCAAAATTACTTTCCATAGACACGACCTTCCTTTTAATGTTTACATTGTTGTAGAATCCTTCCCTGTCTGTGCCAAAATTGTTGGCATTTAGGACATCGAGCCAAACATTGCCATTCCAAAGCCAGATACCTGCTATGTGCCCAACCTGGCCATACTCGATCAAACTGCTGTGCACAATCACACACATGTTCCATCTGTGGCAGCCCCCATAATGTATTTTACAGGGGCTGCCCCACCTACAAATTTGAGTCTGAGGTGGCAACTCTCAGATTCAGACTTGGACTCACTCTACGTGAAGCCAGACAGGAAGCACGTCGACGAGGTTTTTCTCTTACTCCCTATGCTAGTAATGTTGCTTACTCTGCCACTCCCCCTACCTCTCAAGCTCCTACACCCTCCCTTAAACCTATCCCTCTTCCATCTAACTTCCCCTCGTCTACCTCCTACCTTCCCCAGTCAAATGCTTTTGCCATCCTAAATCCAGACACTCCAATCTCTACTACAGCCCCAACACCACCCCCTCTCCCTCCCTGCACTACCCGCAGCAGACAGTTCCACCCCCTCTTCCCCTACCACACAATCACCTCCACCTTCCTTTGCCCCTAAACTTCAGACACCAGTCTTCTTTCCCCCCCCCCCCCCCTCACAAGAAAACATTTGTCTCACAAAACTCCCCAACCAACTCCAATGCAGAAATTCTTGAAGATATTCTAAACTATCTACTCGAATCCCAAATTGACACTAAATCCCCTTATCCACCTTCAAATTCCACAACTCTCGCTCCCTCCACACTCAAAGTGACTGCCGATTTCCATCCTCCTCATACTCATATCCCCCCAACATCCTATCCTCCTACCCCCTCCCAACACAGCCCATCCCCCCAGACTCCAGCCCCACCTACATTAACCCTCCTGCCATCCCCTCTGTCCCTTCCACTCCCTCCTGGATACACAGGTGAATCCTTTATGTCATAAGTATCCCCTTCCCCAGACCCTCCACCTCCTAATACCCCTCCTGATATAACACCACTCCCCCCTCTCATTCCTTATCCTTATTCCTTATCTAGCTCCTTCCCCTTCAAATTCTCCAACACATACTACAACCATTTTCGCTCATAATTCCATGAAAGTATAACTATCCTTCATTAGAATATTCACAGTTTCCGTTCTCACAGACCCAACCTTCGTCATATCCTTTCCTCTTATAACCCATCCACGATATACTTTCTGCTTTGACAACCTATTTTCCTTCATCAAACGCATATATATCCTTCACTTGATCTAACCCCTTTACATTACCTTACCCGACCTTAACTCACTTACTTGTCAATTCCTTTACCCAGCTTTGACAACTAATCACTAACTCAACCACCCTTCACTACCATTTACTATAGTGCTACATGACCTTAGATGTCTAGCACATTTATTTTGCTTTTAACCATTAACCATTTCTTTTTTTATGCTAGAATAACCATATCATATATGTATTGGTATATAATGTAGAGTACTTTTTTTATTTTATGTCCTAAATTTTCAGCGCCGCGTATACAAAGAAAATGTCATTCCACCAAAGGAACTGAAGAACATCATGCAGAGAGAGACATACGATAAGGCAAGAGCATACAGCTTGGACAAAAGCAAGTTTGGCTTTGTGGAGGGAGCTTTCAACCAGATAGTGAGTACAGTAAGTATCCCTGCAGCATTTTTTTCTTATTTTTTCCACCTCCCATTATGTAAAAGGAGTAGAACTGGAAAAGTAAATATCTTCTCCAGACATTCCATGGTGTGTTAGTTGTTGTGCCAGGGCTGCTGTCCAGCTTACAGCTAGGCATCATCCCATCTGCCAGGAATGAGGCTCATGACATAAGTAAACATCACTAGGTGTCAGTGAAATTTGCACCAATTAGCTTTTTGGGACTGATAAGTTTTTTCTTTCTTTTTTCCTATAAACCCATGGCATTGACTCCTAAGACAAATTATATAATGGCATACTTAAGTAGAATAATTGTGTTATGATAGTTTCTACAGAATTGTCATTGCTACTGGTAAAACAATGAGACAGGAATTCATCATGATTCATAAAAGCCAAGGTCACTGGTATTAATTAGTATAAGTCATGTTTTAAGCATTTTTTTTTTTTTTTCCTTTCTTTCTATTTAATCCCCTCAGAGTGTCCTATTTTGATTTCAAAATTCAAAATTCTGCCTATCTGTAGCTCCCTTAGCAGAAAGCCATACTAGATCTTTATGTCTGATGTGTGTTATGCCAGCGTCAGCTGTACATGGAACACACAAATTGCACTTTAGATGTACGCAAGATATTTTTCTTTCCCCCAAGGGCATCATGGTGTATGGAGGGTTTCCTGCACTGTGGGCAGCATCTGGCCAGTTTATTCAGTGGCTTGGCTTCAGTCCTGAGGCTGAAATCCCACAGACTGTGGCTTTTGTGTGCATTGGTTCACTGCTGAACAACATCATTTCCCTTCCCTGGTCTGCATATTACACTTTCAAAGTAGAACAGAAGCATGGTTTCAACAAACAGACTCCTGGATTTTTCATAAAGGATAAACTCAAGAAATTTGTTGTTTCCCAAGTGATTGCCTCACCAGTTGTTGCTGGTCTTGTATATATTATTAAGGTAAGTAAAGTGGATTTGAGATTATCATCATCATCATCATCATCATCATCATTATTATTATTATCATTATTATTATTATTAAAAAAGATGAAAGGCAGGAAGGAAGGAACTTGAGGGAGCTAGGAGGGAGACATAATTGTGGGTTAGGGTTGGCGTCATGTAGAGTTGCCTAGTAGGATGTCGCTTACACAAAACTATAAAGATATCATAGAAGAATAAGTAGAAGTATTGCTGTTACCATTTCAGCTACTACAAATAATGATATATAGATGAATATCAATTACATCATTAAGCATCATAATTAAGATACAAAGATTAAGTAGAAATTCAGCAGCAAAACATACTTTTCTTGTGCTGGGTCTGGTCTATTCTACCCCCAGTTTACAATGATACACGCACACTGTATTTTGTTCTTATCATTATCACTTATCCATATGTATTGTTAGTGGGCAAATAAAAAGACCAGTTATGCTTCACACCTGTAACTACTGTTATAAAGAAAAGACGATATGGTTGAACATAAGATATTCTTAGGTACTGAAACAAAGGATATACTGTATGTTGGCCACATATGTTTATATAGT